CGAGTAGCTGAATCTATAATAACAAACATTGAGGAACAGTTTAGACTGGAAAAAGAGAAGGGAAGAGAACTATCAGGGGAAAGCGCCAAGCCATTACGATTATATATATATAGCACTGGGAAGGGGTCAGGATAAGGATTTGGGATGCGACAGGCGGGAGGGAAAGGAATGGTGCCCAACCACTTGGATGGTCGGGGATTGAACGCCGACCTGCATGAAGCGAGACCGTCGCTCTACCGTCCAGCCCAAGTGGTTGGACCTGTGTGGGAGGAGCGAGTGGGTGTGTGGCTATCGTTTGGAGGTACAATGATTGTATCTGTGTTTGTGGAGTGTAGTAATAGGCTGTGTGTTCAGAGTAAATCTGATATTTGAATCATGTAAGGTAAGTTAAGAAGGTGAGGGTATGCATGGATTGATTCCTTATTTACTATGTATACCTGCAGGAGCAGGCTGTTAGCTCTTGGGCTCCGTCTTTCTAACCGTCGGTTGTTTAATGTTCTGACTCCATATCTATATTTTGTTTTTATCATATCTACAATATGTTTCTGTTTCCTCACACATTGCCAAGATGCTGCCCAGAACAGTCTCCTTCCAGGCACGTATTTACTGTAAGGTGAATAAGAGCATCCGGTGAAAGAAACTGTCCATTTGTCTCTGCCTCGTCCGGGAATCGAACCCGGTTAAGTTAGTCCTGTATTCCGAACGCTCTTGTAACAGAGCGTTCTGAAATACTAATAATCCCTGAACGCTCTTTAACGTGCCAATGACCTTGTTCATCTATGTTCATTTTGTTCATCTATGTTCATCTTTTTCATCTATGGCGGAGTCTGTCATTAATGTCTTTAATAATTAAGAAAATTAAATTATATTAAGGTCACCATGACTGAAAGTGATGTCCTTTGGTGAGCAACGGGTGAAATACAATTCGAACTCGTCATTTTTTTATTAACATATTAGGTACATCTGCATTAGTGCAGCTACCCTAGACTATACGAAGTGGAGTACAGTGTGTCAAAAAGCTAACTAGGTGATGCTAAAAAATCCCCATCACACAGGATGGTTAGTCATACAGAGGCATGTGATAGGCGGTCTGCACTGGCAGACTCCGGATGCATTTTGAGGACATCATCAACACAAGAGTGAATAAGGCAGCAGTGGTAATACAAGCCCCCATCTCGCAGGATGGTTAGTCATACAGAGGCATGTGATAGGCGGTCTGCACTGGCAGACTCCGGATGCATTTTGAGGACATCAACACAAGAGTGAATAAGGCAGCAGTGGTAATACAAGTCCCCATCTCGCAGGATGGTTAGTCATACAGAGGCATGTGATAGGCGGTTTGCACTGGCAGACTCCGGATGCATTTTGAGGACATCATCAACACAAGAGTGAATAAGGCAGCAGTGGTAATACAAGTCCCCATCACACAGGATGGTTAGTCAGACGATGGAAGGTAAAGTTAAAGTGTTGTCGTCCTTTGGGTAAGGCCTCAGGTTAGTGGGTAAGTCTTTACCTTTGTGTATAATCCCCTTTAAACGGCGTCTTTTCGTGAAGGTGAACACTGCGTGCTCCGATGACCCAGAGGGGAGGATATCTTGAGGTTATCTTGAGATGATTTCAAGGCTTAACCTCCCCGCGGCCCGGTCCTCGACCAGGCGTCCTGTTTTGTTACACATCCCCAGGAAGCAGCCCGTAGCAACTGTCTAACTCCCAGGAACCTATTTACTGCTAGGTGAACAGGGGCAGCAGGTTGAAAGCAGCTCTGCCCATTTGTTTTCACCTTCACCGAGGATCGAACCCAAAAACCTAGGACTACGAATCCCGAGCGCTGTCCACTCGTCTCCCCCTGACAGCTGAGTGTGGCTGGTGAAGCAGTCTCACTTGCTACAGAGTCATGATTTCATGGGGAAGTGTGTGCTAACGATTGAATTAATGAGGTGTGCAGATGCTTAATTACCAATTACAGGCAATTGTTGCGACCTATTGACGTTTGCAACGTTTAACAAAACATACAGATGAGGTTTCTAACAATGCAAATGCAACGAAGAGAATCGTTGCAGACAGCAACATCTACATCAGTTGGGGCTGGATTGGGCAGATGTAGAAACCTCCACTAATTGCTGAATTTAAATCACAGCTCAAGTGCATAATGAACACCCGTGAAGAACAATCAGAGATAAGAACCCTCATCACAATTAAAGACAGTGATTCTGTATTGTTCTTAGATGAACTGGATCTGAGATGCGCTGGTGGCTGTGTATCGCACTGATTAGAGAGCATTATAATAGGCAGAGCAGTGGCATATAATAGGCAGAGCAGTGGCAGTAATATCCAGTGTGGGGGTTCCAAAATGGCCGTCTGCCGCCTTCAGGAGTGAAGGTTACCCCAGCCACCACACATCAATGACTGGTTAGCTGCCTACGTCAGTCTGACTTGAGCTCTCTAGAGAAAAATGTTTACACCTCTGTTTATGGAATTTATTTTCTTCCTGCTAGATTGCGTTGGAAAAGAACATATTTATATTGTTTTGAGCGAATGTGAGCTTAGAGTTTGTGTATTCCTTAGGATATTTTCATAATTGTTGAGTCTTGTGCAAATTGTTGCATCTCTCTGCATGTGTTTGGAATCAGAATGGCGCTCATATATTTAATTTTATAATGGCAAAACATGTATTACTGGTCGTTATGAGGCTGATGGCCCTAGTGATGACTACCCTGATGAGGAAGACACTTGATGGGCCAGCCTCCTCATCTCCCGACTCTACTCATGTGGCGGGATAAAGACTTTGTAGCAGGCATTGTATGTGGTATACATGTTCAGTATGTGGTATACATGTTCAGTATGTGGTATACATGTTCAGTATGTGGTATACATGTTCAGTATGTGGTATACATGTTCAGTATGTGGTATACATGTTCAGTAGATTCCTGTTGCTTCACCCAGGCACATAAGTCTGTTTTTAAGTCTCATTGTACCTTATCTCTCTCTCTCTCTCTCTCTCTCTCTCTCTCTCTCTCTCTCTCTCTCTCTCTCTCTCTCTCTCTCTCTCTCTCTCTGTCTCTCGGTGTCTTTGTATGCTAATTTTCATATATATATCTATATATATATATAAAAAATATATATATATATATATATATATATATATATATATATATATATATATATATATATATATATATATATATATATATATATATATATATACATAATGCAAACAAGCCTGAATGGTCCCCAGGACTATATACAACTGAAAACTCACACCCCAGAAGTGACTCGAACCCATACTCCCACAACTGGTATGTACAGGGACGCCTTAATCCGCTTGACCATCACGACCGGACATAAGGAAGTGATAGCCGAGGCTATATGAACCACTTCCCCGCCGGCACTCGGATGGTAATCTTGGGCATAGCATTTTATCAAATCACCTCATTCTTTGGGGCACACGTGAGGAACACAAATGTGAGGAACATTTGTGTTCCTCACGTGTGCCCCAAAGAATGAGGTGATTTGATAAAATGCTATGCCCAAGATTACCATCCGAGTGCCGGCGGGGAAGTGGTTCATATAGCCTCGGCTATCACTTCCTTATGTCCGGTCGTGATGGTCAAGCGGATTAAGGCGTCCCTGTACATACCAGTTGTGGGAGTATGGGTTCGAGTCACTTCTGGGGTGTGAGTTTTCAGTTATATACATAATGTTTATTATTATTTTACAGCGCGAGGTTTGCGCATCAGCATTCACGAAGTGTCTTAGGGTTGTCAACTGATATCTCTTGGAGAAGCTTGGTGACTTATGTCATGTACTTTACACACTTTCCAATTATACACTTGGGATTATACACATTTCCTCGCCGTGTGTGTAAACACAAAACATGTTGCAGTTTATCTGGCTTTCTTAGTGTGTGTATATGCTATGTAACACCGCTCAAGGTTTGGCCAGAATTTTCTCTTTTAAGGGGAGACAGCATCAATAGGATGCAATGATCAGGGGAGGGGGGGGGGGGGGTCGTCATGTCATATCATGTCCCCCCTTTTTACTATTACATCTTTGTAGAGCGTAAATTAAACTCTGTTTAGGATTTCTCATGTATAAGAAATTACTTATAAGATAATTTAGGTAAATAAGTAATAAGTAATAAATAAGTAAATTAAGTAATAAATAAGATAATTTCTAGTGTTATCTTGGTCATCATTCGCTGTCTATTTTGCAGAGTATGTACATGTATTCCACATCGTACTGCTCAAAACTTTACTGCATAATCACATTTTTGTCTCACGAGGGCAAGATGAAGTTGTAAGATATAATGATTTGTCATTCTATTACGCTCTAGAACATGAATCAAATTTCCCTATTTCCCCAATTTTGAAGATTTATGCATTGTTTCCGATTCCAAGACAGGCGGGAGTACACTAAGGTCTCTGGTTTCCTCCTACTACTTAGATATAACAAGATTTCTTCCGAATGATCCTTGAGCAATACAACAGGCTTTTGGCTTACTAATCACTGTATATATGACACTACATCAGCTGCAGTTGGACACCTGTTAACAAAAGTAGTTTTAGCATTCATATATTTAAACAATGCAGTTTCTACATTGGTTTGGTACTTTGCACAATTATTACAGCCGAAACCACAGGGCTCAGTTTAGAGCTCGAGCATACTCTTCTCACTAATGTCAGACATCACAATGCTTACTCATTAATCACGAGAGGTACGAGAGTGCAACAGCTTGACGTTGCAAGGCCCTTATCAGTGGTAAAAGGAGGTGGCCACATTAAAAGGTAATGTTGGAAATGTATTCAGTGCTTTATGCGTTGTATCACTGGGTGTTGTATCACTGGGTGTTGTATCACTGGGTGTTGTATCACTGAGTGTTGTATCACTATTGTATCACTATTGTATCACTGGGTGTTGTATCACTGGGTGTTGTATCACTGGGTGTTGTATCACTGAGTGTTGTATCACTGTTGTATCACTATTGTATCACTATTGTATCACTATTGTATCACTATTGTATCACTGGGTGTTGTATCACTGGGTGTTGTATCACTGGGCGTTGTATCACTGGGCGTTGTATCACTGGGTGTTGTATCACTGGGTGTTGTATCACTGGGTGTTGTATCACTGGGCGTTGTATCACTGGGTGTTGTATCACTGGGTGTTGTATCACTGGGTGTTGTATCACTGGGTGTTGTATCACTGGGTGTTGTATCACTGGGTGTTGTATCACTGGGTGTTGTATCACTGGGTGTTGTATTACTGGGTGTTGTATCACTGGGTGTTGTATCACTGGGCGTTGTATCACTGGGTGTTGTATCACTGGGTGTTGTATTACTGGGTGTTGTATCACTGGGTGTTGTATCACTGGGTGTTGTATCACTGGGCGTTGTATCACTGGGCGTTGTATCACTGGGTGTTGTATCACTGGGTGTTGTATCACTGGGTGTTGTGTCACTGGGTGCTGTATCACTGAGTGTTGTATCACTGGGTGTTGTATCACTGGGTGTTGTATCACTGGGTGCTGTATCACTGGGTGTTGTATCACTGGGTGTTGTATCACTGGGTGTTGTATCACTGGGTGCTGTGTCACTGGGTGCTGTGTCACTGGGTGCTGTATCACTGAGTGTTGTATCACTGAGTGTTGTATCACTGGGTGTTGTATCACTGGGTGCTGTATCACTGCTGTATCTTGTTTTAAAAAACAATTGTGTTGATCTAGATGATGCATATCAGCAACACAAATCTTAAAAAAAAAAAAAATTACTGACCCTATTTTTTGGGGTGTAATATATTAAGTATATGAGAGGCAGCTTGGCTGTTCCCTGATGATATCTGCGAAGGTGAAAGAGCTAAATTAAGCAATGAACAATGATACCTCAATTGGGCTAATGCGATGACGCTAATTATTACGTGTGTGGCTGTGAGTTTAGTGGCTGAGAACATGAATTACCGCCATTAAGACGTTGCAACTCTTGCAAGAATCTTGGGTTATACGTGTGTACCAGGTCGTGGCGTCCCTCCGCACCACCCTGCACATCCTAGAAGCACAAAAACGCACCTAATTAGGCAGAGAGGAGTTGAGGAGACTACTCGCTGTCTTTGGAACCGGTTGATAAGACCCTTTTGGAAGAGTTGCTTTGCTTGAAAGGGGGCGGAGGAGGTTGTTGGGGTGCAGGGGATGGGGAAAAGGGGCTTTGAGGGTTTCGGTTGTGGTAGTTGTCGGTAGGGAATAATGCGGGGGAGTGGGGGGGGGGGGCTCAGAGGGGATGAAGTAAGGAGATAGGGGAGTCTCTGATCAAGAAGGAGAGTAGCTTACTATTGACCCAGATGGCAACCCATCTCCCAGCCCAAAGCAATAAGTCACCTACTGACTTTATTTTTACTAGGTGCAGTTTTTTACTTATTCAGCAGATAAATTGACCGGATCATTATAATAAAAAACAAACTTCTGAAATGTAAATATTATACATTGCTGGCTTGTGTACAGTTATGTCTAGGTTAGGTTAGGTAAGGTGTTTTGATTTCGTGGATTTAGAATGTACTCTGCAGGCTGAAGGTGAAGTAAGTACGTATCGAGTCATAACCTTGAACATGGCTAGGTGGACTATGAGTCTAAGTGCTGAATTATGCAAGAATAATCTTAAAAAAACACGTTATTCGGTTAAGTGTAAGTATCTATATAGGAAAAATGAAACGAAAATTCCAAATGGTTTTGTGTTTCAGTATATCATCAAAGTATGCCGACAGAGAAACCATGAGTTTTAGACTATATAACCCTCTTACACCTGAGAAAATTAAGAATGATAAACCAAATTTCGAATAATGGAAGTGACATGATTTAACAGGTAAAGGAAATTACGTAATACAATTATTCTTTACTTCATTGTATGCCTATCACAACTCTTAATCAATTATAAAGCTGTATAATTTATACAATCCAAGAATTATATTAACATGATTAATTCAGTACTTTTTATTAATAAATATGCAATAATATTTCTTTCACTAACTGATTTACCCTCAACCATTTTACATGAATTTAAATGAATTAATCCAGTCAATTGAATTCTTGCAATATCTTAAGTTAACAATGCATTAAACTCTTGACCTGTTCTTATACTATATATGTGTTTCTTTATTTTCTGGACAAGATGCTTACCTGTTTGTCCAACATTGAAGTTATTCCAAACTTTGGATTAAGTTTTATTAATACAACCATTACAATTATTTGGAAAAATTTTCATCAGAGTTTTTATGATAAAAAGATTCATAAATGCTACATTGATATTAAATTGTTTTGGTAATTCAGTTGAAGTTATCCAAAAATAGCAAAATTAATGTATTCTTAATATTAAAATTCGTAAATTACTAAAACAATTTAATATCAATGTGGTATTTAGGAACATTGATGCCATAAACACTGATTAAAATGTTTTGAAAATGCATTAAATAATGCGAAAGCACCCGCAATTTGTTTTTTCCTACGTGGATATGTACTTATATATATATATATATATATATATATATATATATATATATATATATATATATATATATATATATATATATATAATATACACACACACACAAAGTGCAGTAATACTATAAGTACTATGCAGTACTACTAAGTACTATAATGTGTGTGTATATATATATATATATATATATATATATATATATATATATATATATATATATATATATATATATATATAGCATTCTGGCTACCTAGTAGCCAGAATGCACTTTTCAGCCTACTATGCAAGGCCTGATTTGCCTAATAAGCCAAGTTTTCTTGAATTAATATATTTTCTCTAATTTTTTTCTTATGAAATGATAAAGCTACCCATTTCATTATGTACGAGGTCAATTTTTTTTATTGGAGTTAAAATTAACGTAGACATATGACCAAACCTAACCAACCCTACCTAACCTAACCTATCTTTATAGGTTAGGTTCGGTTAGGTAGCAGAAAAAGTTAGGTTAGGTAGATTAGGTAGTCGAAAAAACATTAATTCATGAAAACTTGGCTTATTAGGCAAATCGGGCCTTGCATAGTAGGCTGAGAAGTGCGTTCTGGCTACTAGGTACGACATATATATATATATAATATATATATAATATATATAATATAATTTTAGCATGGCGTGTTTAAGTTATCTAAGACGTGTGTTCGAGTGTGCGCAGGTTCGAATCCCTTTCCTGATTCCTATCGATTTTCTCACTGATTCGTAATGTTAATGTGATATCTCTGTGCGTTATTACTATTATTATTATTATGATAATTTGTATTAGTATTATTATCAACTCGCCGTTTTCCCTTCCTCCTTTAATCCGGATCTTTGACACCAAATGATCTTTGCTTCAGTGATACAGGAAGTTGCCTCTCGTAAATACATTCCAAGAAAAATGGATTCTCTCAACATGACAGATAAATTTCTGCTTCTTGGTGAGAACTAATTTTAAAAAGCTAATTTAACCCGAAATTTCAGGAGAATATAAATTTTCACCAGATGATTTTGTTTTTATTTTGAGATCAGTTTTTATCGTAACTTAGTATCTCGTATTACTGGTGCTAATGGTAGTAAGGAAGGTGTGAATAGTAGTTTTAAGCATTTTAATAAGTTATCAGTCAGATGACTTCTAATAATTGTAGTTGAAGTGTTCTGAGGTACAGTACTGTAGTAGTAGTGGGTATAAGTGGCGTGTTAGAGCGGCTACAGCAGCCAGATGGGTTGTGGCTGGAGGATTAAGTCATCCGAACTAACTGGAGAAAATAACAGGTATAAGCCGAACCATAACAAATCCTAAATGTTAATATTATACATTAGTATTAGACTTGAAGCAATTTGAGAGAGATATTAGACACAATTAGATGCAAATATAAGGACCAGCAGAAGCAGCAATGCAGACATAAACAGCAGCACCACCACCACTACCAGCACCGCAGACGTGTAGCACCACCATCACGCCCAGACCCAAGAGCACCAGTGGCACCATAGCACCACCAGCACCACCACTAACCATAGCACCAGAGGGCAGTGAAGTGGCAAGTGCATCAAAACAATAGGAGTTAAATGTCCATCGTTTTAACTCTCCGGTATTCACAACAGGTGTAATGACAGGTGTGGCAATAGGTAGTGGTAGTAGCGACGACGTTAGAAGCTGTAACCTTCAGTGGGTACCCGGGGCAGAGCAAGCTTCTCATGCCAGAGGGAACCGACATTTATAATAGTTGTCTCATAATTTACTTAGGTTGAGATCCCATATAGCAGGCGATATTAACCCCAGTGGTGGGTTTGATTTAGGTTCAAATGCTGTGGCTGATGATTCAGGGCAGTGGCACATTTCGACAAGAGACACTTTTCACGACTTCAGAAAATAAAGTGTTCTCCTTACGCCTCAATCACTTAATCCGGAGTATTCGAGGGGCTCTGGACTCTTCTTGGAGATGAAAAGTGAAGCGTTCGAAATACACGTGATGATTCTGATTCTGATGATTCTATGCTAGACTTTGTCTCTTTCGCAAAATCTGCTGTTACTGGTACTCTATAATGAAGTACTTCGAAATTTAGTTGATATGGGAAAAATACGTTTAGTTTGCAGATGGGATTTAGAATTTTTATTTTCAAACTTTTCTGTTGCATTTGCTAAAATTAAAAAAGACCATTAATCCGGATAAGCCAATTTGGGTTTCGGCCGAGAGCAGAATACATTTAAGCATTCTGTTCACTGTATTTGATGTTGAAATCGCTCACATCTTGTTTGTACCATATCTGTAGCGCAGACATGGAATTGAAATTGAAATTGAAATAAATTTATTTAGGTATAAATACACATAAAGGGATAAGTAATTCAAACTATTCTCAGCCCATTTATTACAACGTGTTCATATATATATATATATATATATATATATATATATATATATATATATATATATATATATATATATATATATATATATATATATTGACACACATCACAAACAATTAGCATATTACCGAACATTCTATGAGATAAACATATACATTTTTTAGCGCAGAAGACGTAGTTCGGTCCTCGCCTGTACCCTACTTGTGGTACAGGTACAGTTGAACACACCCTCTCAATCCTTAAGGTACCATATATTCAGTTTGTACGCAATGTGTATTTAAACAGGTTGCCCAACCGTTTACACCTGTGACCATTACGTGATACAAAATTATCTTAAGTCCGGACTTATGCTGAGTTAGTCCGTCAACAGTTTACATGCATGGTAATTTCCCATTCAACTGTTGTTATAAACGGCCTCCTGGGGCTTCGGAGTTCATTAACTGTTTAACAATTGTAAACAAAACCGCCAAGGTTTGAGAAAAGGTGGACAGGTTCGTAAATGCTTGCGTAACTGCTTCGTGAATCTGGCCTCTGATGTGTTCAGTTTTTTAAAGCTCTCCCAAGGAGAACAGGAACATCAAACTTTGAGAACAAATCCGCAAGGGACGTGACGAGGATTCGAACCTGCGTCCGAGAGCATCCCAGGCGCTGCCTTAATCGACTGAGCTAAGACATGGTACGTGATACGTGATTTCTGTGTGTAATCAAACTTAAAGAAACACGCATAATAAATAAATCTCGTGTATCCTCAAAATTCCATTATTAAAATAATGACCACATACGTAAGCTGTCTTAAGACACTGCGCCAATCTCAAAGATGTTATAACAGCGCGGAACAAATGTCTTAAGTGGAACACAATGGTGCACATGTATACAGGACTTGGAGTCAAAGTGGTTGGGCACTATTACTTTCCTTCCCCCGTCCCATCTCAAATCCTTATCCTGTCTTTGTTGGAATGTTTATTTGCCCACTAGCAGTTAAGAGGAAATTTACACCTGTTTACGTTTCTCCACTATAGTTAAGTGGTAATTTACACCTGGTTTACCCTTCTCCACTAGCAGTTAAGTGGTATTTACACCTGTTTACGTTTCTCCACTACCAGTTAAGTGGTAATTTACACCTGTTTACCCATCTCCACTGCCAGTTAAGTGTAATTTACATTTGCATTCCTTCTTCACTAACATTCACAAGTAATTAACACTTGCATACTCTATTCCACTACCAACGTAGCGTAATTTTACTGCCATGAGCATCTCGACATCATCTACAGACTGACAGGCACATACCTTAACCATTTGAACTCTGCTGCGGGATTATTACTCCCGTCACAATATGTCCGACGATACTATATTTTTACTTAGAGCAAACGTGGGTTCAATCCTGCAATATAAACCGGAATATATTCCATCACATACTTCTATCCCCTGTACTGTGATGTAGGTACTGTGCACCACCACACACCTGTACCCTGTCCTGTGGTACAGGTACTGTGCACCACCACACACCTGTACCCTGTCATGTGGTACAGGTACCGTGCACGACACACACACACACACACACACACACACACACACACACACACACACACACACACACACACACACACACACACACACCTGTAACCTGTCCTCTGAATTGACAGGTTAACAGCGGTGTTATCAATAGTAACAACTGTGCAATTAATAATAATTGGTGTGTAATCAGTTGTAACAGCTGTGTTGTCACTTTGCAACGGTTGCAACGGCTGTGCAATCAGCAACAGCACATGTGGTGAAATAAATCGCCGTTAAATATATATAATTAACAGTGCAGCAGAGTTGCAATACAAAAACAACAAGCTTTGTCAGCAATAAAAATAAGGCCCTTGAACAACACGGCACAATTTTAGACGCACTAAACAAAGCGTTGTTAGTTGCAACAGGAACATAGACAGACTCGGGAGCTGTAAGAGCAACAGCAAACATTATGAAGCAACAGGAATCAGCAGCAAGTGGAGCAACAGCAAGTGAATTACTATAGAATGTATTACACTTATTATACAATTGCACAACGTTTCGAACCTACATGGTTCATTCTCAAGTGATAAGAAATTACGATGTCAGTAGAAGCGATGACATCCCTTGCAACTTGGAATACGTTGAGAGGACTTGGAGCAATTACTACTTCACTATTCTTGTTCATGTAGCAGCAAGTGTAGACCAAAATAACAATTATCTGAAGCTGGACGGTAGAGCGACGGTCTCGCTTCATGCAGGGCGGTATTCAGTCCCCGACCGTCCAAGTGGTTGGGCACCATTTCTTTCCTCCCATCACAAATCCTTATCCTGACCCCCGTTCTAAGTACTATATAGCCGTAATGGCTTGGCGCTTGGCGTTTTCCGGGCTCACCATAGCCCGTGCTACATGGACATTTCGTTCTGAGTAGCTAAATCTAAAACAACAACAACGCTTTCCCCTGATTATTCCCTCCTCTCTTTCGATTTCTTCAATTTAGTCTACTATCTCATCTTCAAGGTGAATTTTAATGAACCACACCAGCCTCTCCTCGTACCCACAGATAGAAACGATGGATCACATATCAATGATGAATACACTCGCTTTTAAAATGGAAGTCGATTATTGCATCTGCATGTCTCAGAGCGTTGGGCTTGCAAGAAGCTATTGCATCATCTCAGTGTCTCTTGAGAACCCTCAGCGCACGCCATCAAGCGGAAAATGAAGATAACAGATAATGAGGTTCTCAATATTTTAACTCGAGACGATATCAGAGAGGAACAGTTTCTGTTGCTCTGGAACAAGAGGATAACAGGGAATGTGTAGATTAAGACTGAAATGGCAAAGGTTTTGTGGCATGCATAACTATTGGTAAGGTTTGTTGTAGGATAGATCGAAGAATAGTGATGGCCAGATGATGGTGAATGGGAGGAGGGGGAGTTGACAAGTTTTGTGATAGGGATAGTTTGGCGGTGGTGAGAGTGAATAGTGACGGTGAGTGTGTGTATAGTGTTGAGAGGGGTGACGAAAGTGAGGCTGCAGATTGATTATGAATTGATTATGAAATACTTGGCTGTGTATAGTCGTGGTAATGGTGTATTTATCTATCAGTGAGATGTATTTATCTATCAGTGAGATGTAATTATTTACCAGTGAGGTCTGGCTCATTATGCCTCGTTTACAAGCAGTGTTACACCCGTTACATTATTTGTTTAACTTGTCTGACGTTCGAAATCTTTGACAAATTTGGCCTTAAACTTGGGCCTTAAAGATGACGTCCAAAAGTCTTCTTTCAGTGCGGTCAACTTGACCACCAGTAAAGGGTACGAGTGTTCTCCTAAATATATTCGACTCAAAGGCTTTTCCAGCTTCCAGGTGTGTCCTCTTGTGCAATACAGAGGATACAAGTGGAAGAGTCGAAGAAATGTAAGGAAATACTCGTTACCTCTAATGGTGATCAACTAGTGGAAAGTACTGTAAATAGATACGAAGGTGTAGTGGTAACGCAGAGTAGTTACCACTGCTGGTGGCTGCCGAGTACAATGGTAACGGTGTGTTGGTGGTGAGTCGGTGTAGTGATGGTGATTCAACCCGTCCTCTTAAAAATAACGTAGCTTTTCGCTCGTATGCGCGCTATGGCCAAAAGTGGACGTAATTTAAAATGAAATCTACTCACAAAAATGACGTACTGTCCCGTTTTCTGTTTGAGTCGTCCGGCCTACTCGGAAAGGTTAGGAGAGGAAACTTTCAATTAACATTTTAAGTGATTAGGGTGGTAGTATAGTGGTGAGCTAGAGGCTGGCTTGTAGCAAGTTGAGTAGTGACTTGTGAGGGTGGTGAATAGAGCTGCTCTTGTCACCAGTTCCTCATAATGAGGAATTGAAATACATATTACTATATTTTTTTAGTTCTTTTTTAGTCTATTGTATATTTCTTATTTCTTTCTTATTTCTGTGACTGTTATCTCTTGTGTTTATTATTTGTCCACTATTTGCCTATTTTTTTTTCTCTATTATTCCTGTGTCAATCATAGAAGTAAATGACTGTTTTCATGAATATTTTCCTATTACAACACATTAATTTGAGAAATTAGCTCTCTCAGTTAGCATGTAAGATGGCAGTATAATATGAACAACATTATTTAAATATGCCTGCAATATAATTTTAATATACAACTTGACAAAACCCACAGAAATCACAATAAGCTGATATATCAAATGAAAAAAAGCCACTGGAATCCGTGGCTTTGGAATCAGAATTTGGAATTTGGAATCTTTGGAAACAATGCCAATCAGGAATATGTACACCAGTTGATTGAGAGTTGAGAGGCGGGACCAAAGAGCCAGAGCTCAACCCCTGCAAGCACAAGTACGTGAGAACATGAGCCTTGTCGAGGGTTCGAACCTGTGTGCTGGATGTTCCCTGACACGCGCTAGTCAACTGTACATGGTTTACATACATGGTTAAATTTGCATATGTTAGGAGTAATTTCTTTCATGAGCCATAAAGGTCATACTCGTTGTCATTGTGTAAAACTAATTTGCAGGGATGTTTTTATCCAGCTAATTGTCCATTAGTAATTTCACTGCACATTGCATCCAATACTTGACATCATCGTAGACAGTTGAAATGGCAAAGTCAAGTCACTTAAACTCCTTCTGTAAAACCAATTTTCTTGCCCTATTAAACGTAGTTATTAAATTCCTTAACATTGTAAACCAGCCACGGTTGTAATTCGATTACGTTTTCAATCAGTCTTCATTTACTCTGCCTATCCTCAAAATCCGTTCAAAGACTCTCAATTCTGTTTCTTATGCACGTCACTCAATTCATCCTAAAGATGCATGGATTCGTTTCAACCAATTACAGCGAGAGAGGGAGAGGGGGAGAGAGAGAGAGAGAGAGAGAGAGAGAGAGAGAGAGAGAGAGAGAGAGAGAGAGAGAGAGAGAGAGAGAGAGAGAGAGAGAGAATGATAGAGAAATCTTTGAACAATATGAAGCTAAACCCGATGGATAATGACATCATAATAATAAGGTAAATCTTGACCTGAAAAGCGAGCCTCTGATCTCCCCTCGACCCAATATTGACCTTTCTTGACCTTCCTTGATAATTGCCCAGAGTTCTTAAGGCAAGAGATCACCCTTTATAGGCTGTAATTATTACCTTAAACACGCCTTCCCTCCTATTTCATTTTTCGGAAGGGTATTGAAGTTAAAAGAGAGGGAGGAGGGTAAGAGAGTAAGAAGGGTAGGAGGGGCAAACAAGGAGAAGTAGAAAGGGAAGGAGAAGTAGAAGGGGAATAGGAGTAGAAGACAGCTAAACAAGACGAAGAGGCTTCCTTGTTCCAATCTCCCCAATCTTACCTGTCTTGAGTGTGCACTGTGGATAATTTGTAATGGTTGCGTTCTAGTGAGTAACTCGGGTGAACGTGCATCAAAATTGGCTGTTGACGGTGTTCCCCGAGCATCCAGCGAGCGGCTCCTTCTCTGTATATTTCACACTAATTCATTTACGTCCAAAACAAGAAGATATATATAACTCCTTGTGTCTTGTTAAGTCTTCATTTTGCATTATATTTTATCAATCTCCATCAGTAATTTAATGCTCCTGGATGATTGCCTTTGTTGTTATATCTTCACGAATGGGTAATTGTATATATTTTTCTTGTATTGCAGAAAATCGCAAATTTCTACTGTGCCGTCCGAAAACCTGTTGTTTCATTAAGGACAGTGTAAACTTGAACGGCCTCCCACACACTCCAGGCCACTCGCGCGCTCTCTCTCTCTCTCTCTCACACACACACACACACACACACACACACACACACACACACACACACACACACACACACACACACACACACACACACACACACACACACAGATTCACTCACACTCGCTCTCTCTGACAGGAAATCTGTTCCTTCATATCAGTGTTTGCACATGAGGTCAAACTAATGAGAAGAGTCCTGGCAGAGAGAGAGAGAGAGAGAGAGAGAGAGAGAGAGAGAGAGAGAGAGAGAGAGAGAGAGAGAGAGAGGTTTTGATGCTTTTGTAAACGGATTTGGACATAATCCAGAAGTGATCTGAAAAATAGTTGCTCAAGTTTAACTCAAATACAAAGTTATGGGGATTGGAACATGAGTGCGAAGACCAGTACAACAGTATATGATAAATGGAAGACAGATCCTTCAACCCGGAAAGGTGAAAGACGTTGGAATGAACATGATCTTAAATCTGATGTCAGACGAGGTAATATCATACTGACCAACGTCCTTGTATCCTGCAGAAGCTCCAACAA